CTACCTCTTCCCTATGGTGCTTTGTTTGGGAGTTTAAGATCTATAGGATCATGCCAAGAGATAAAAGCCAACAAAGACAGAACAGTATGCCACATTCTGTCTCCAATTAACTAGCAATAAGCCAGGCTGGAGACCTCACTAAAGTGGGAGTGCAACCCATGAATAGCAAGCAAAATAAGAATTGGAGGAGAAGTCCACACATTAGTGGAAATAAAACAACAAGAAAAAAGAAAGACAAACATTGCCACTCTCCAGAGAAGGAAAGGAACATTCAAATAACATGGCAATTTGAAAAACCACAAAACAGCAAGTAAACTTTTTCTGGTGCTGAAGTTATGTTTGCTTCTTCATCACAAATTGGGTACTAAAGCACACTGTAATTCAGTAAAATTATGCAAATCAACCCTTTGGAATATTTAGGAAGAAGGAGAATTGTCTAGTTCAGTTGTCCCTCTGGAGAGATGAGAGCTTCTTGGCTCTTAACTATGTGATAAAAGAGAAAACAGACTTCTCTTTTTGATTGTACAGAATATTTCTAAGACCTTCTCAGCAGTTTTTCAGCATTCAGACAGAGAAGACAGTCAGTGTCTGGGTTACTGAGAATGCAGATATATCTAAGAGGGACACAGCACAGAAGCAGCAACAATTTTGAGGCTTTACTCCTGAATTTTTCTTCCTTTCTTTTTTTTGGGGGGTGGGGGGTCGGGTCGTGGGGCCTGAACTCTGGGCCTGGGCGCTGTCCCTCAGCTCTTCAGCTCAAGGCTAGTGCTCTACCACTTGAGCCACAGCGCCTCTTCTGGCTTTTTTCTTTTTGCTTGTGTGGTGCTGAGGAAGCAAACCCAGGACCTCAGGCATGCAAGGCAAGCGCTCTACCACTGAGCCACCTTCCCAGCCCTACTCCTGAATTTTTCATTTTCTTGATGCTGACTCAGGCAAAAGTTGCAGGTAAATAGTTAAGCTACAGCTCTGTTGTAATGTGGCATCTGAATCATACAGTGGCACAAGCTCCTAGCTAAATAGTTCTTGTGCTGAGTACTATGTTATTTTAAATAAAAGGAAGAGAGACATGAAAGCCATGATCTAGCTATATACCTCTACTTTCTCCACCTGACACAACAAAAATTCTGGCAAGTGATCTCAGTGAGAGCACATTGAGATTCCAGGAGAAAACAATTTTCAGTGTTATTTCAAGATGACAGCAGAGTCCTTTCAATGTGGGTTTGGCAAAAAGACATTGTTTTGTCAACATGAAAATCATTTAAGTCTTTAAATGAGACAACTGAAGACATACCTTTCAAATGGAGAGAATTCCCTACCTTGCCATGTTTTCGCTAGAGAAATTCAGCATTGCAGCCTGGGGATCTGGTTGTTCTAATACTGGGATGTGATATCAAGTTAGGTTTCATTTCCTTGTTGATGTTATTTAATAGCTTGAGTTCATTATCACAAAAGAAAGTAGTTTGATGCATGTGTCTGTGAAGCACTGAGATCTAGCAACAGAGACATCTACAATGCCACAATGCTTATGTGATCCCAGTGTCTTCTCCTTTCCTTAGAATGCACTAGGCCATCAATCATCAGGCACTTCCTTTCCCTCTTTATTTTCTTGATACGTTTTTATAGCTGTTGAATGTACAGAGGGGTTGCAGTTATATAAGTCAGATAAAGGAGTACATTTCTTTTCAGACAATGTCAGCCTTCCCTTGTTGTCTCCCAGTTTGTCCTTTCCATCCTCACCCACATGTTACATAGTTCATTTTCAACATACTGTCCAATGAGTACTGCTGGTGACTTGTTCACCATTTCTCCCACCATTTCTGTGCCCCCTTCCTTACTCTCCCAAAGACAAATAAATGAACAAACAAGACAAAAGGAAAAACCAAGTGTCAGTGTCAAATATTTTAATCCTAGCTACTGAGATCTGAGGATATCAGTTCAAAGCCAGCCAGGACAACAAGTCCATGAGATTCTCATCTCCAGTACACTTCTCAGGTAAGGCCCGAAGTGCTGTTATGGCACAAATAGTAGAGCACTAGGCTTAAGCAGAAGATGTCCAGGGACAGCATCCAGGCCCTGAGTACAAGCCCCAGGACCAGCAAATAAAAAAAAGTTAAAAAAAAAAAACCAGAAACTTCTTTCCATTTCCTAGAATTCATTTGAATGAATATTACTTTATATGATCAGATAAACATAGCTCTTGTGCCTTTGTGATTCTCTCTAAGAATATGCTTCTTTGGTGTCTTGTGTGCGAATGCTTAAGACTTTTATAATTTATGATGTCTCAGTGTATTTGTTCTTTAATATCCAGTATGTTTGTACATGTATAGGTACATTCTGGCTACCACAAATGAAGGAAAGCATACAACCTATGTTTCCCTGGTTCTACTTAATTAACTTCCCTTAATATATTTTTTACAAATATTTCCATTACTTACAAATGGTACAATACCATTCATTCTGATGGATGAGTGGAATTCCACTGTGTATACAGCCCACATTTTCTTGATTTATTTTTCCACTGAGGGGCATCTGGGTGGCTACCACCTCTTGGCTGTCATAAACAATGTTGCAATGAACATGGTTGTGCTAGTAGATCTCATGTGGACTGGTTTGTGTTCTACTGGATGAATGCCCAGGATAGAAATTGGTGGGTTATAGGGAAGCTGTATGTTTAGTCTTTTGAGGAAACTCCATAGTGATTTCCAGAGTGGTGGAACAAGTTTATATTCCCACCAACAGTTTAATAGAGTTCCCTTTTGGCCACGTCCTCGACAGCAATGGGTATTATTAGTTTTCTTGATAATGGCCATTCTAACTGGGATGAGGTGGAATCTCAGTGTTGTTTTGATTCACATTTCCTTTATGGCCAGAGATATTAATCATTTCTTCATGTGTCTATTGACCATTCTTTTTTCTTGTTTGGACAAGTCTCTCTTTAAGTTTTTAGTCCATTGATTAATTGCATTGCTGTCTCCGTAAATGTTACTCTTTCACCATTAGTCTCTCCATATCTGTGCCTCCTCTTCCACTCCCCAAAAGAAATCAAAAGCATCAAGAAACACAAAAAATATATTTTCATATATTTATATTTTATATATAATTACATAATAAAGTATAAGTGTTGCTTTCATTGTATCCCTTTTGGCTCCCTTATCTGAACTTGCAATCTCATCCTAAGGTTTCTTCTTTCCTGTATTATCTCTTTTTTCTCTTAGATTTTGTATTTTGGTAATGATGAGAATTGAGTATTGAGACCATGTACATGCTAAGAAAGTGCTCTCCCATTGGTCTTCGCACAAATCTCCATTGATAGTCAACTTGAGAATATTTTACTTCACAAATTCCTTGCATTTTGAATGTACTGTATTTGGACAGTATTTATGGATTGTAACCTTTTATTACTGTTGTTGGTGGTGGTCACAGGGTAGAATGTAAACTTTTATTGTTCTGCCCACTACTGGTATTCTTTTATTGTTTCTGAAACAGAATAATTCTCCATCAGTATTGTCAACTGAACAAACTGGTTCAAGAAATGCAGAAACTTTTAAAAAATATGTTCATTCTGTTTTTTTTTTTTTTTTTTTGGTAGGTTGTGGGCCTTGAACCCTGGGCCTGGGCGCAGTCCCTCAGCTCTTCTGCTCAAGGGTAGTGCTCTACCACTTGAGCCACAGCGCCATGTGTTCATTCTCTTCTGGCTCTTGGATTTTGCTTTTGTACCAGTTCTGGCACTTGAACTCTGGGCCTAGGTAATGTTCCTGGGTTTCTTTTCCTAAAGGCTATAGTTTCAAATCTGGAGCCATAACTCTAATTTGGCTTTTTGGTATTTCAGTGGAGATAAGACTCTCACAGATTTTCTTGCCCCGCTGGCTCCTGAGTAGCAAGAATTCCAGGTAGAAGCCATCAATGCCTGTCTGGATTTTTCACATTTAAACTAGAATTGCTTAAATGAAGATAGGTTAGATTTGAATTTTTTCTTTTACAATAGTGTTAGAATGTATTTTCCTGAGGTCAAATGAACCTCCATACATGTGCTGTATCCAAGTCACAGTTTGAACAATGCACAGTCTATACTAGAAATACTTTTTTAATGTTTTTTATTGTGAACATACTGTACAGAGGGATTACAATTACATGGGCAAGATAATGAGTACATTTCTTATCAAGCATTGCAGCCTCCTACTTTGTTTACCCTTCCCATCCCTTCCCAGCCTCCCCCTGCCCCCACACCTAATCCTCCCCAGCCCCCCACCAAAGTTGTAAAATTCGTTTTCGCCATGACAACTTGTACTTCTCATTGTTGCAACAGGTCCACCTGTATCTTTATTTAAAAGACTTGTTTTTCCCTTCCCCTCCACAAATTGTACTGACATCAAATACAGTGAAAGCAGGGGTTATACTGTGGGGGAGGGACATACAAAGCAACAAAGAAATAATCTTATAAATGCATTAGGAACAAATGCATGAAAGAAAAAAAAATTAAATACATATCTTAGTGTTCATTTTCCTAACATCACCTTATCTGACCCTTTCTGCTTGACTCATACATAGACTAGAAATATTTTTGAGGTTGCTACTCTACTTCAAATGTTCTCTTTAAACAGATACAGGCCTAGCAAAGTTATAAGATCCTATAATTTTAGATAGGAGCAGTTCAAATATCAACAGACTAGTCCTTGTACTCTCCAAGTTGACAAAAGAGATTATAATAAAAAAGCTAAAAGTCCAGAGTAAGAGGCAGGTAGGAGGAAGTTGTGGCTTGGAACACATTATTTATATTTATGAAAAAATCCTTGAGTTGAAACCTGTATCATCACAATCAGGGATCAGAAATCATGACCTTTCCAAATGACTTCTGGATTTAATCTTTCTCTGTTCACTGGGCCCCAACTTCCCCAGGAACTACCTAGCCAGATACTTATTTGGAAATTCCTGATTGGTGGACTCAAAATATATAATGGGTTTCTGAGTCCTGGTTTCAACACCTTTCTTTCTCCTGGGACCAGAGTTGTCTTCGGTGTAATTCCAAACTTCAGCTCAGCACCATGAAGTTCTTATCTCTCCTTGTATTACTAGGAGTTGCTACCATGCTGGTTTTTGCTGGTTAGTATAAGATTTAACCAAGTTAAACTTTGTGTGCAAATATGTATTGTCTGGGGCAGTACGTTCAGGGATTTTCATGAAGCTGTACTTTCCTGACCTGTTGTTCAGAACCTAGTTCCATTTCCATTTGAATATTCACTTTTCATGACACTGGATTCTGTTTTCTTAATTCAATCAGATGTTTTCTCTGTTGTGAACCTCATAGTCTAGTGCCAATTATTGTTAGTATAAGGTGGTTTATTTTTTAGTATTCTCTTTAAGTAGTTGTGCATATGAATTGCCATTTAAGAAAAAAATGAAGACAATATAGCTTAATGTCACTTTTTTCCAACATTTTCCCCTCACGTTCCTCTATCTACCCTTCCTCTTAATTTGCTTAATGTTATAGAATATAGATTGAATTCTTATCTGAATTTTCCCTCTCTTTTCCTCTTCAGCCTCTTTTCCCTACATGTGGAAACTAGATTTACTTTGCAAACTAATAAGTAAATGTATCAGATAGTATGTAAGTATAAACAAATAAAAACACTAAAATATGTGCACTAAAATATCACGTGGAGATCTCAAAGAGTGCAATTCCTTACAAAGCTAAAATCAAAGTTCAGCGATATAAAACACTAGGAAACTAATGCTCAGAACAGATAGGATGGAGTTAAGGGTAGACAAATGAAGAGTAGCAATAATGCATCGAAGATAATCAATGGCTTATTTCAAGATGCAAAAGAGGATTTTTCTGTGTTGTCCAGGCATCATTTATCTTCAGTCTGACCACTCAGGAGGACTTTTTTCCAAGAATGGATTATCATTACTGCTCACATTCTATCTACCAACTGAAATGATTTTTCTTTCTTTCTTTTTTGATCTTCCGGAGAAAGAATTAACAGAGACTATGTCTGATGCCATACGTATTGGAAACCTGCTTTGCCATTCATATTTTTCCCAGCTGCCTTCCTGTCAGCTTCCTGTAAATAATCTATTTTATAAAGACATCTAAGAAAAGCCTGGAAAAGATGCATTCCTAATGATGAAATTCATTTTGAAGCCAGACAATCTCTCCTTTCTTACACACTGTTACAAATTATAAAAATCTCTCACTCAGAGTTATCAGATCTGTAGGTATTGTTCCTCCTTCTTTAGCCAAAGGCTCAAATCTGCTACTAGTGAGGCAAATGCCTAAGCTAATATTTACTTCCTATCTCAGACTTGACAACCAAGATTTTAGAACGTAAGTTCCCCTATTGCTTCTGGGGAACAGTTTTCTCTGGGTAAGACAAAAGGTAGACTTGAACTGTGTGCTCATATCTGGGACAAAGAACTTGCTTGTTTTCTCAGTCAATGTCAATGCACATGGAGAGAACTTCAATATATTTGTCTCTCAACAAATACAAATGATAAAATGAATGGGGAAGGATGGAAGTTTATAGGAAGAATGAAGATGTGAACCACGTTAAAACAGGAATTCAGAGATGATTCTGGAACAAAATAATATGTCTAATACTTGGTGGTATACAGTTATTACCTGAAGGAGAGAGGATGTGCCACCTGACAGTTTTCTCTTCATTTCAACTGTCCTGCAGATGAGCCTGCTAATGCGGGCTCCGCTGGAGGTTTTCCTGTGAAGATACCTGACTTTGAAACACTTAATGCTCTTTTCTCAAAATTTACAGGTAAGAAGATTTCATGTAAGTGAGTCTTTTGATTGTGTGCATGTATGTAAAGTAATGACAGGGCTTTTTTCCTTACCTCAGCAGTGGAGGTAGCAGAAAGAGTAGCAGGAATACTCTTAATTAATACTCCCTTAAACCTTTGTGTTCTGATTCAAGGTAATATACATGTTTCAAAGGAGCCAAAATGTTGAAGTTTCTTGGTTGTCAATTTTAACTGTATCCATGGTGTAATAATAGCATTAGAAAATTTTATCCTTAGTAGAAATTATTAGTAGATCAAAATATCTCCTTGAAGCATGTAAACATTTTATTTTCAATTGAAAACAAATGGTATCTTTGAGAAATATTCAGAAACTATAAATGGTTTGAAAATAAGGCTTCAGCAGGCAAAATCCTTTATAAGATATTCAGGACAGCTTTAAGGAGATGAAACTTCATCCGCACTGAGGTCCATTTTCCAATGCTACATTCATATCCGCTTAGCATTCAGTGTGACTCCTTTAAATTTACTAGCATTTACTTGTTGCCAGTATACATTCAGATTCCAAGACTCTGAGAACACAATCTTCAGGCTTAATACCAAGCTCTTCACATTTTTTTTTCATTTTCAGATGATTTTATAAATATGTTGCCATGGATAAAGCCATAAATATGAGAGTGAGAATGAAAAAGTTTTCATCTTCAAGATTTGTTCTGCAGGACTCAACCAGCAATGCTTTCATTTGAAATGATCCATCAACCCCCTCAGCCTGACAATGTAGCTTCTTGCCTCCAGTCAGATTAATCAGATTATCTTTCAATTAAATAATAATTCTGTGCATCATGATGCATATTTTTCTTTATTATGAATTTCTGGGATTTCCCACTGTTTGGACAATCAATTCAAGACACTGACTTACATTTAAGCGAGTCTCTGGGGGTTGTTTTGTAATTGGACTTTACATTCTCTTGGTATGGTTGTAGACATAATACTATAATACTAGGACCCTGTCATTGCTTTACATAAAAACACTAAGTCAATACTTACAAGGTTTTAATGTCCAGATTCATTCCATCAAATCCTTCTATCACATAATATACAAGGGACTTCTTTTTCTGGAATTTGATGAGTAGAAATGAAAGAGAAGAAGGCAGCTCTGTTACAGCTCTGGTACAATCATCTCAGAGTGGTTAGTGCTGAACAGCTGCTATCAAATAACCAAGGGCAGGATTCTGAGTGGCACCCAGCAAGCTCACAGAAAAAGCATCCTCAGACAGGGTCATTCAGTAACTAGGATCAAAGTAGAATAACAAGCCATCTTAAAAATTGAAAATCTACCCTTTCCCTATGGTGCTTGGATTTGGAGCAGGAGATCTATAGGAAAAAGCCAAAAAATGCAGAATGGTCTGCCACATTTTGTCTCCAATTAACTAGCAATAAGGCAGGCTAGAGACCTTACTCAACTGGGAGAGTGCAAGCCATGAGTAGCAAGCAGATTAAGAAATGGAGGCAAGTTCAGCCCATTAGCAGAAAGAGAAAAAAGAAAAACCAACAGCCCCAACCTGGAGGAAAATAAGAAAATGGAGAAGGAAAGGAATTTTCAAATCAATATGGCAGTGTGAAAAACCCACAAACAGCTAATTTGTTTTCTCTGTTCTAAAGTTATGTTTGCTTCTTCATCAACACTTGGATAATAAAGCACTCTATACTTGGACATTTAATGCAAATAACGCTTTAGAAAGTTTAGTCAGAAAAAAGGAATTGATTAGCTCCATTGTACCTGTGGAGAGATGAAAAGCTTGTTGTCTCATAAGTCTTTGATGAAAGAAAAATGTGATTTTCTTGTTTACTGTATGGAAGATTTCTGTGATTCCAATCTCCAAATGTTATATGTTTAACATCAGAAATGTGGAGAGAGTTCAGGTCTCAAACTCATGTGCTTACAATAAAGGACTTAGCCAACCATATAAAAACTCCTCACACAAACATACCTTTTTATTCTTTTCTAGGAGGCAATCTATAATAAATATGTACTGGGAAACATTTCTGGTTAGCTCCAAGTAATAAGCATTGAAAGATACAAACCTTATCCTGGTCACACTGGGAATTATCTTGAGGTGAGGGGCAGTCACCCACCTTCCCAAAGGAAGATGGGAAAGAGGTGTTACACAGGATTGGGATCTATACATAATTAAAAGAAAAATCACAAAACAGATTACCCAGTTTAATTGTAAACAACTTTTTTAGCAGGAAGAAACTCATTTATTAACAGAGAGCAGCCCTTTTTAAAGCCAAAAAAGCGGGTGGCATGGCAGGGGAGAAAGAAGAACCAATCACTGTCAAGGTCACACCCTATCATGCATCTAAGCTTCCATGGGCTGGTTACACACTGATCATAAAGGAAATCGGGCTCTGCCCACTCAACTCCCTCTCAGCGCCATCTTTGCTGCCCATGTCCTCTACAGATTCCCTCTTTTTTGTTTTAATGGCAGACCCACCTCCCAGTTAGTTATCCTTTTCCCTCCTCTGTAAAGGTTGTTTTAACAGGATTACATTGGTAAGGACAACATTGGCTACAAAAGGGGTTCGAGGCAAGTCTGAGGGTCGAGATTCGCCAGACAAGGATAAGGAGGGTCCTTGTGCATGATAGGAGCCAGTCCCAGTTACCTCACATCCCCACATAGCACAGAACTCATGTTTATTACTGTGCTAATTGTAAACAATTTTATCTCTTCTTCCAATGGACAAAAAAAATATTTTGCAATTCTAATTGGCATCTAATGTTTCCTCTCTAGTGGCTAAACATAAAAGGACTCCTTCTGCTATTTATGTGTGTGTTTGGTGGATTACATTTAAGCAGTTGCAGGTGAGATATCATCTGTTTCCTTGGGAAGAAAACTGAGGAGAAACGTTTAGAATGTACAAAATTCCCAACTACCAATGCATTTCAGAGCATTTAGGTGCTTCTGCTGGGGCCCTGGTTGGGTTGAAAAGTAGGGTGTAATAAGAACACAGACTATTTCCTTTGTATTCTTTTCTCTTCAGCCTAGTACCACCAAGGACAAGCGCACAAACACTCAGGTTCCTTTTCTTGCAATGCACTGTATACACAAATACATAGAACAGTGTCATCTTCTTCTACCTACTCAGCTGTCATTTTTAAGCAATGTCACTTTGTGTCACCTTATCTGAAACTCTATCCCTATTGTCTTCCTCAAACCATTCTCTTCTTTTATGCCTTCTGTATAATTTCTGAGAAGGCCTTCAACCATATGTATGATTCCTTCATTCCCCTGCATTTTTAAAATTTTCTGTATACTGATATTTCTTAAACTTTGTATTTCTGTGCATGCAGTTTGTCTGTGTTTTGCTCACTGTCATTCTTCAAATATCCTTCTTTGCACTCCCCATAAATAGTTACTGAATGAATTGATACATAATTAACACTGATTCATGGATATCAGTTAAGTTTTTGTTTTTTTGTTTTTGTCAGTCATGGGGCTTGAACTCTGGGCCTGGGCACTGTCCTGAGTTCCTCAGTTCAAAGCAAATGCTCTACCACTTGAGCCACAGCCTGACTTCCAGTTTTCAGGTGGTTAATTGCAGATAAGAGTCTCAAGGACTTTCCTGCCTGAGCTGCTGTAAACCATGACCCTCAGATCTCAGCCTCCTGAGTAGCTAGGGTTACAGGCATGAGACACTGGCACCCACCTGCAATTCTTGCCTCTTTAGATCAATATATTTTTCAGTCACTCTGAGATCATGGAATTCTCTACATGTACAGGAGGAAAGCCTGATGTTAAGAAATCATAGCCTGGCTGACTCAGGACAGGCCCTGGAAATCACTGCTCTACACTGAGTTTTTCCTAGGAGGAGAAGTGAGGTATAATGGGCTGTAGGTTTGTAAGGCCTAAAAGTAGCACAGTGGTCAGTAGCATGGAGGGTCATGGGCTTCTCTATCTAGCTAGAAATGCTAGTTAATATGCATGACTGTTTTACACAAACAGGAGGACACCTGGAGATGAAGTTGTATCTAAATAGTACTTAAGATAGGAAATAGAAGAAATCAACCTTGTCTCATGGAATCAGGAACTTGACAAGCATTTGATGTCCTGACTTGTATAAATGGCCCTGAGCAGTGCTGATGTTTCTGTTTGGTCACATTCTTCCCCACACTTACTGGCATTCACTAAACAAAACTGTGGTCTGGCATTCTTTTCTGTTTGCTCTGTGTATTAAGTGTCATGAGGTGGAATCCTGGGGTGAGTATATTGCCTTGGTCTAAAGCAGTCTTGATAATGTTGCTTGACTTTCAATTTCCGCCACGAAATATTTACATGCTTGGTTCTGAGAATGTTTCTGCTTTCCTGGTGTATGGCTCTAAGTAAACATATAAGGATTCTTACCTCAACAAAAGTGCATATTTAACCTATCTCTATTGTTGAGGAAGTTGGTCACAAGAGCCTACAAAGAGAGTGAGAGCAAACCCTGTTGTTTTGTCCATCACCTGTTTAATCTTCTATTCAGTGATTATTCCGTGTAGAGTTGACTTGGCCCTAAACTTTTCCCCCTTCAGCCATGCCTTTCTCCTATTCCAGTCATTCAAATGGGGCCAGTCAGAATAAAGAAACCATGCTGGGTTAAACATGCCATTTAGATGTGTAGGATGCACAAAGCCTGATAAATGCATAAGTATAAACTCTAGGCCTCAGGGGAAAGATCCAAGAAGCATGGGCATAGAGAGGACACTCCTTAAAGCTGGTCATTGGAGAAGCAAGCCCTGAGCATATCAAAGTGTGCTGTTAGCATTTGGGTTGGGAAGTAGTGGATTATGATCATATGATACTAGGCATCTAAGTATCTGATTAGACAGACTAACTGTACACACTCTCTCTGCACTGCTCTGGAGGTAGTAGGTCCGGGACTAAGATGTCATATGCATCCAGACTTTCTACTCATCCTGACTTCATGTGAGTTTGCTACTGCTCCAAAGGATATGTGCTTTCACATAGGTTGGTACAGTGCTGGACCTGACAAGGTACTGCAGCAACACCTAAAAGATCACAGGCCACTAGTGTTGTTAACTTTCCTTACAATGCACTAGGAGAACAATACACACGGTGAGTTTCCAGCTCAATTTGGTCTGCTCAAATGCTAACTTTTTACTAATGTCTTCCTGGCCACCTTTCCTGAAATTACAATCCCATGTCAGCACTGACAATGCTCCGGTTTCTGCTTTTTTATGTTATTTCTCTTTCTGTTCCCTTTTTCTTTTTGTGTAGGGGGAGATAGAACACAGAGCCTTGCACAGTCTAGGCAGATGCTATAACACTGATCTACATCCAAAGTCCTCCTGATATCCATATGGCCTGTTATATCCTTCCATCCTTTTGAAGCCATTTCTTTCTTGACTTTTTAATGCTCGTTGTTTGGAAAGGTAAATTTGAATTGGGAAATGTGTGTGCTTTGCTAACGAACTGGTTTTCATTGTTCCCAACATGCAATCAATAACATTCAACAATATTTAATGAATGAATATGCTGTAAGGTTAATCCAGCCATGAGAAATAAAGAAACCACATTTTGAGAGGTTGAAAGCTGGTATCTGCAGGGAATCTCTTGTCAGGAAGACCTGTAGCCCTGCACACATACTAACACTGTTAGTAACCTGAGCCATGAGACCCAGAGAAGAACGAAAGAGCAGAAAAACAACACCAGCAAACCAAATCAACTCCAATGGAGAACTGAATTGGGAGGACATCATGTTGACCAGAGGAGATCCAGGAGACAGGAGACACAGCAAATGAGGCATGGTATCATGGCACCTGAGTCGATCAGGGC